ACCAAACTGTGATGCTGAACGAGAAGGACGCGTTCCTCTGGATAGAGACAATCTGGACAAAGGTTAGCCTGACGAGACTGTCGCCGAGCCTGATGGACTTAGAATTCCGGGGAACGGTGGAAGCCCGAGGGTGGGTCTACCTATCCCAAGAGATGGAAAATGCAATGGTAGTAGAATTAGTGCTGGGAATGGCGCCAGATTCGCTGTTTAGACAAGCGGAACGGGAAGTGATATGGACGGCCTATCAGCGGGCAGAAATGGAAATGGACAAAATGGAGGTGCGAGTGGAACTCGGGGACAGGAGGAACATGAGACGCCCCCTTAGGACAATGAGGTGCGTGCTACCCCCGTTTCTGGTGGACACGGTTTTTGGGACCAGGGATAGACTGGAACAGATATGTCGGTCGATGACACGCCTGAGGCTGTACCAGTGCGCTCGACAGGATTTCTCTAGACTGTCGGTGGAAGCGGGACCGTTCGAAGGGAACTGGGCGGAGGAACTAGCTGAGGTATTAAACCTCCTCAGCGCGGATGAAATCTTTGTCCCTAGCCCGGTACATTGGCGGATAATCTATCGGAATGTGGCGGCACGTGAAACCTTCTTAGAGGGACTGAGGGAGCTGTACTGGGACGGGGAGGAGGATGTCAACGATGATGAGGATGGGGACGAGATAGAAGACTGGGACTTCTGAAAATGGGGGTTGGGGCTCACCCGGAGAATGGGCTGTCGGCTATGTGCAGGTAGGGAATCAATGGCTCGAGAATTTCAACTGAGGGATTGCACGTTCGAGGGATGGGAACCAAGGCGGATTAAGGGGGGCGTAGAGATGCCCTTGCCCGCGAAACGAGGACTCGGAAGGCGGGTGAGAGGTTTGCCAATAAAAGGGATGGGATGAGGTCCACAGCAAGGTCGTGATGGGGGGATGGAAAGAGTTTAGACCACCCTGCTCGCGAAAGAAGATCTGGGTCCCCGAGTTCATAGTGGACTGGTTTGGGGGTTTTTACCACGTTGCGGAAGTGGCCGACACTATGGGAAGGGTGCACATAGACTACACGTGGTTGTCAGAGGAGTTTTACAAAACATCGCTGAAGTACGGGCCTTTTCATGGCGATAGAGCCTGGGAAGTCCTCATCATCTTGAATCTGGATAGGTACGATCAACTAGAAGTAGCCCCGGAAGTTAGGGATGCCATAATCCGCCGGGAGGTAGCGGCGACGTCGTGCTACGTGGATGATGTGTTCAAACTGTTTGAGGTACTATGGTTTGATTAAGAGCAAGAAAAGCTGCGGGGCCAGACAAGCATGGGAAAATTGCTAAGATAAGGGAATGGTATGTCTGGCCATCGTAGGGTTCATTGCGAGCTGCGAAGTAAGGAGACCAAGGGCAGACGCGCAATGGCACGAAGAAGGACGTTTCTTGAAGATCGCCCCTTATGCATTAAGCCACCTAGGGAAGTAGAGGGCGGAATAGAAGTTAGTCTGCCGGCCGCAAATGAGGGGTGGCACTCGGTGGTGGACTGGGTCGGGGTTGAACTTATGGAAAATATGGTTTACTTGGTAACGAGGGTCGAATGGCGCGCGGACGAAAATGGGGAGTGGAACCCGGACCCGCGAGAGCATGTGCGTGCGGAAGGGCGAGTGTATGTGTCGGAGGGCGGATGGCGAGAGTTCGGAGTCCGGTTGGCATCGGAAGAAAATCCGTTGAGTATGTTTGAAGGGGCATGGCAGCTAGTGTGGCGGGCAGGGTTCGAATTTGCAGACCCGGAGGCTGATGATGTAATGGCAAACCTTAGGGTAGCTATGGTTGGGAGTTTTGAATTGCCCAGTGAAAACGTTCGGATGAGATTGCCACCATTTTTGCTAGAGACGCTAGGCGAGGTGGAGCTTGTCAGGAGGGTTGTGGCCGACCTCGCCAACCTGGCGTTTGAGGACACGTTGGTTCACCAAGAATATTATCGGGCCTTTCTAGAGATGGGGTCATTCAGCGGTGAACAGAGGTATGAGGTGTTGCGGGTCTTGCGCGCTGTGTTTACCACCAGGCCAAGAGCTCCGGTTGTTAGCAATGAAATCCTATGGGGCGTTGTTTGACGAGAAATAAGCCGAGGAATGACTTACCTAGATGATCTGTACCGCCTGTATGAGTCAATGGAAGTAGAGACAGGCCGGTAGGAGAGGCAAGAAAAAGGGGAAGGAGTAGAGAGGAAAAGAGGTATTGGGGTTAAGAACCGGGGAGTTGCCCGGGTGAGGACGAAGAATGGATGGAATAAGCAAAATTCGCTTGCTGTTTAAAACTGTGCAGGGGACCGCTAATCAACAATGGCGATGAGACGCGCACGGATGTCGCGACGGCCCACTCACCCTCGGCCACCCACGGAAAGTGGAAGTGGATGGGAGGTATCGCTCTCGACAAGCTACATTGACACTGAATGGAGAGCCGTAACCTTGGGAAGGGACCAGGCATTCATGATGGTAGAATGCTTGTGGAGTGGGATGAGGTTCGATAGGGGACCAGGGGACGACCTGTACATCGACCTGAAAGTAACAGGAACTGTATACCTGCGAGAGGTCGGATGACACATGCTAGGAAGAGAATTAGCACTAGGGCATGGGCTGTTACCAATCTTCCAAAGGGCTACTTGGATAGTGGACCGGATAGGCCAGGAGGTGCGAGGAAGAAGGAACGTGGGGCTGAGAACCCGGGTAGAGGTAGGAGGATGGCGAGAGTTTAAGGCCCCGATGACGGGACTGCGGTGCCGAGTGCCTCGCTTCATGGTGGACTTGGTATTTGGCAGCCTCGCAAGGGCAAGAAGCCTGGTGGAGTCGACCCTAGTCTGGAACTACTTTCGTCCGCAGACGACAGGGATGTTTTACGATGTGTCAGTTAGGCACGGACCGTTTTGGGGAAACCAGGCCCGTGAACTACTCGAACTCATCAAAATACTGATATTCGGGTTACCACGCATGACGTTTGAGGAATATGAACCAATAATCGTTAGGGAAATAGAGATGGGAGAAAACTACCTTGCCGGGGTGGCTGACCTGTTCGAGGAGCCAGACGAGCAAGACAGACCTGAGGGACCGGCGTGAGAAAGGAGAAGTACCGGAAAAAAAAGTAAAAGATGGAAAATCGGAATGAGAAGCTAGCCGCCAGCAAGAGAGTAGTGGTCGGAGTTCTGTCCCACCTAAGATCGTGGCAGGAGGGAACGGGGAAGACCACCCGCACTGAAAGACGCTGGGGCATCCGGGTGTCGGGGAGTCAAAAAGGCTATCCTTAAGGGGAGAGCCGCTAGCCTCAGACACCGCCCTAAGGGACCGGGACACGACAGTGACAAAACGCCGAATCTCGGCAGCAAACCTTCCGGCAGAAGTAAGACAGAACGGCGCCCTGCATAAAATTGTTAGGCGAGTCGTCCCGACTAAATAAGACGGGAAAACATGGAAATAAGTAAGAATAAGGGGACCTTAGGGCCCGGGAACTAGGGAAGCTATGAACAATCCGCCGTTTCGCAAAAAAAAAAATTCATGTGCAGGGTAGGTAAAGGGATGGCGTCGGAAGAAGAGGTTGAGGAACTGCGAAGCAAAGGAAGTCAGGGCACGGGTAGGGGTACGGAATGAAACGAAGCATCAGTAAAGGATCGAGAGTCAGCGAAACCAAAGGGAACCAGGGAAGATGGGAAGGACCTTTCGACAGGCGAAAGTTCGAGGAAAGCCGGGGGTAGCAAAAGAGGACCTCAAGAAAATAGGGAAGGGGGGGATAATGGAAGATCGAGTCCTCGAAACTCAGAAGGGACTACGCCCAAGAAAACGAAGGTCTAGAACGCCCGCCGTAAGCTGGCAGAGATAGAAAAGCGAACCGCAGAATATAAAGCAAGGCTTATGGAGGAAATGATGGCTGGGAATGAATGGGACTCCCTGGGAGAGGGGTCGCGAGAAGAACGCAGGGTCAGCCAGGGCGAAATCAGGCACGGAGGGAAGGATAACAGCCATAAGGGAACGCCCAACAAGAAAGGAAAGGAGAAGGGGGATGCTCCGACCGTGGAGGCAGAAAAGACTACGACCCCACCTGCTATGGACAGCGGGGCTAGTCGCCTGCCCGCCACACCAAAAGTAGCAAAGGGTTGTGACGGACTTTGGAGTCTTAGAGAAAGGGTGTTAGGATGGTTCGACCCTGAGGGTACGCCAAAGACAGGGGAAAAGCGGGGGGACCAGTCCGGCTGGCGAAGCAGGTAGCTCTGAGGGAGGTCTTAAGAAAATAGTAGCAACCCTCATCCGGGCTCTGAATAAGAATCAGGGGTATCTGGTCGATGCCAAGAAGAAACTTACTTTTGACGGGGCGAATATTATGGAGTTCCTGATAGACTATGAGAACCTTGCAGCCCTGTTGAAATGGAGTGAGGAAAAGAAGATGGACCACCTGGGGCAGCATGTGTCACTTAGTCTGGGTAGAGACATTATGGTCATTGTCACCACTAGTGGATCTTGGAAGGAAACCAGGAACAAAATGATGAGGAAGTACCTAAAGGCGGAGAAGATGGCAACAGAAGCCGAATTGGCGGCAGTCCAAAGGAAGAACTATGCGACTTACAATGACTTCCTAAGGGCCTTTACTTTAGTCGCGTTACGAATTTCCGGGGTAACAGACCGGATAATGAGTAAGTATTTCCTCATGCAGTTCTCCGTATTCGACAAAGATAAGATTTTATCAGCCTATCAACAGACTAGCAAATTCGAGTACACTAGGGATGTGGACTTCAGCACGGTAACAGACCGCGCGGAAAAGACAGTGGTGACCTATACGCTAGCCCTACTCAAAGAAGGGGAGGTTATAGACTTGACTGGGAAGACAAGGGATAAGGTCAAGAAGGGGATAGAGAGCCTGCATGAATGGGTGCACGGGGTTGACAGCAAGATAGAAAGAATGGAAAATGCGCTATTAGTAATGCAGGCGCAGGTGTCCCGACCCGCCCTCCCGCCCCAAGAGGCCGTAGTTTCGGCAGCGGTGACAAATCGGGGGTATGGCAGAAGGGATCCGTCCAATGAGCAATGCAGGTATTGCACAATGGGCGGATATTTCGTGCAAACATGTCCAATGCTCAACCATGATATCATGAGACAGAGATGCAGCAGGTCCCTTAAGGGTGAGATTCTCGGACCCCAGGGAGAGCGCGTAAATTGGAATTCGCCAGGAGGGATGCGGCGTGCCGTCATCGTCCTGAATAACTTGGATATAGCCGCCGTAGAAGCAGAGCCAGTAGCCGATATTGTCTGGGACCAGCCGAGGGGACGTGGACCACAGGCTAGTTTCATCCTAGAAGGCAATGAGCAGGATAGGGTAAACATCACCAGCCGGCGGGCCGATGCGGAAAAGAAGCTTATTCGAGACACGATAATGGAAGAGGTTGCTGGGACTGGCGCACATCAGGAAGAAACTGAGACCGGGGAACAGGAGAAGGTCTACGGGAAGACAAGGGAAGAGGAACCGATAGACAAAGTTGCAGCGGCAAAAAAGAAGTTCAGATACCAAATCCCGATCTTGACCTCGCCAGAGATTGACGGCACCTTGAGCAAGCTCCTGGGTACCATGATATCGGTATTCTTCCACACCATGCTGCAAGCCAGCCCAAGGATGCTTAAAGGACTCAGGCAGTTGCTAACGCACAAGCGCGTAGAGGTAGAGGAGGCCCCGGAACCACCGGAGCAGGAGACGGAAAAGGCAGAGGCACCCCAAGGCGTCTCCAACCTCCAAAGGATTCCTGGGGATCTGGAGGACCTGGAAAAGACCTGTGGAGTTGGCAGACGACAAAAGGGATGCAATGAGGGCGGCAACGCCTTTTATACTTTTCCGCCCAGAGGAACTCTCCAGCAGCAGGCCTCGCGTCGGGACCAAGGAGGGTGCGGAGAGGGCGTTTCGATTCGGCGGTTGTTCGCATATCGCATGCCAGGGCCAATAGGACGTCAGGGCCTATAAGACGTCGGGGCCTATAAAACGGTAAGGACAGTTGGGACTCGAAAGGTCAGAGGTAACGTAAATTGCTGCTCGTCGATCTACGAAATTCAACGGCGCAGATCAACGAAGCCACAGGCCTGTCAGAGGCCCCAAATTCTCCGCGAACTCCAGCGTGCATTGATATGACCTTTCCAGAAAGTAAGGGACAGTCTAGGTCATTTTCGCTGTCGTAGTCTCGACCGTCGATCGTCACAATCCGACGTACAAAGTGGAGCTTCCTTACCCCCCCGAGGTCAGGCGAAGTAATTGCACCGCAACCGTTCGTTGCGCGCCGAGGCACAATTCCGAACGCTCACGAAACCCCAGAGCGGCGGTTCGTTGCGCGCCAAGGTCAATACTGGAAACCGACAAAATATGGTCTGGCAGACATTGTGACATTTTACAAATGTCAACGACATTGGATAGCGAATGTTCGCAATTGCTCCATTTTTAACCAACGCTGCGCTTGCGAACGGAATCGCATCCATTCCCTCGCTCGCCATCGCCACAGCCATCGATGTGCTTAGCTCATCACCATCACTGCGCACAGCTATATTCTCCATTGCAGCGCTGGCAATCGCTATCGCTATCGCCACCATCTCTGCGCTCGCCATCACTATCGGTACCATCGCAGTGCTGGCCATCATTATCCATTCCGTTGTCGCGGTGTCAGGACTGGTGAGTCCCGAATGATTTCCCGTCACTCGAGAGACTGTATATGACCAATTTGTGCACGACAGAGAAAACCGGAGGCAGGAATGCTGGAAAGATCGGAATCATGGGCACAGACAGTAGGAAGCTAGAGGCTGCCCAGAGTCGTCAGGACCGCCAAACTAGAGTTCGACTGTCTAAGCAGGAAGTGGCAAAGGACCGTGAGAGAATAGCAGGGGCGATTCTTTCCCCAAGGACGGGGAAGGGCGGCCGGGAAGTTGGTAGTAGCATAGGAGGTGCGCAGCAAGGGAAGGAAGGAAGTAGGAAGGGATAGGGCGCAAGGCGCTGACGTGACATGGCGGTAAGAGGACCAAGGAGGTCGCCGGTTGGATGGGAGCCGGCAACCGGAACGGAACAGCGTGCGGGACGCAAAAGGAACGAGGAGCGGAGATCGCCGTAAGGCGGAAGGACGTCAGGAGCACCAAGGAAAGACGTGGTACAGGTGGGGCAGGAGTGTCGGGGACCACATGGGATCGAAGGACGGGGCGGTACCGGCAGGACAAAGTGTCGGGGACCGCACGGGACCAAGGGACAGCGTGGTGCCGGCAGAGCGAAGTACCAGGAACCGCATGAGACCAAGGGAAAGATGCAATACAGGCGGGCCGAAGTGCCAGGGACCGCGTGGGCCTAGATAAAATGACGGCACCAGCGGAACCACTAGCAGGACGGGTACCGACGGTATAAAGTGTGGGGAGCCGCCGACGGGGGCTGAAGGTCGGAGCCGTCGGCGGAATAATCGGCGACCAGCCCAAGGGGGGGGGGGCACGAGAGCGGGTCGTCACCCGGGATGACGCCGGAAAAAAGGGGGGGGATTAGGAACAATAAGGAAAAGAGGAGAAGTCGGGCGCTGACGAAAATTGTCGACAGAACGAAGGAGACGGGCACGGTCTGGAAAGACGGAGGGCACCTAGGACGACCCAGGGGGACCCTGGATCAAGCGCAACAATGATAAAAATAAGATAACATAATGTCAGGTGGACGGGACCGTCCGGGCCAGGGGTCCGGATGAAAATGCTAAGTACCGCCGCGGCAAGCGCTGGTGGCAGGTGCCGAAGGGAAAAGAGGGGGGAATAGTGGTAATGAGGGGGCTGGCGAGCAGTCCGGGTTATTCCGGATCAGCCAGGGCAAAGAAAAACAAAGTCCCAAGGGCCCGCGTGAAGAAATGGCTGGCCGGAGAAAATCGGAGCAAGGGGGTTTCAAGCTCGGAGCGGTGGCAGCCAAAAGGAGCCCCCTAGGACCATGGGGGTGCCACTATTGCAATCCGAAGTACAAAGGCCACCTGCCGGCTGCAAAATCGGACCTTGGGAAATGTCCAAGAGCTAGAAAGAGGAGAAATAGCTGTTGGACACTTGTCCCAACAGTAATAAAAGGGAATGGAGAGAAAAAGGGGGTGAATGAGACAAAGGAGGAGGAATGGGTGGAGGAAAATGTGCCGCCAGGTTGGGACTGCAGCGGTAGGGATGGGCAGGTCTCAATGATGACCTCATCCCTCCTAGATCCTAGGAGGGCAGTCCGGACTGCAGAGATAAGGTCCTTGGGGCATTATCTCCGCAATATTTGAATTTAAGCAACAAAAATAAAGAAAAATGCTGATGTGAGTTGGCCGGCTCATTTTTGGGCCTTAGATCTGAAATCTGATCTTGCGGAGAAGGAGATCTAGCCGTTTTTTGTGGGCTGACACAAA